ATAAACAAAATATTTAACAATGATCATGTAAACATGACAGCCTTAAAGTAAGCATAACAGTTACAATAATAATACATGCGAATAACAGTTCATATGTCATGCCTATCTATGTTAGTATGCCTAGTTACCCAGTTCAATCGCTAACAATGCGACTTGTGACCCAATGCGATAAACCACCAAAATCTTCTTAATGTACAACCCAACTCAATGCAGACATACAATATGACATGCAACAATACTTGTAAGATCGATATCAATATTATCATCTCAATCATACATAGAATCATCCTAGTACTCAATCAACACAAATAAGTTACCGTAAAAGTAGACTTACCTAACACATAATTTTCTTAATTTGAATATAACGCGATAAATGAAAAGGTTAATAACATTAAATATCATAATACAATAAACCATTCAATCAAACAGGTGTAGCATGATAAGGGGACATTCACACTTTAGCACTAGAATACATATAGACATAGACTGAATCACATAAATAAATTGATGTTGCACGTAATAGACACACATCTAGAATCAGACGACTTTAAATCTACTGATAAGTAGGGCTTTTTTATGATTAATGATTGAGGTATTCGAATCAGTATAATCAAAATCTATAGTTAAGTAAAAATAAACAATGTTACTAATTTGGATTAGTAGGGATGCTTATACCTCAAAATCGTTATGTTACATGGATTGTGTCTATGGTTGATGATGGTTGACATGAGGGTGTGAAAAGTCATCTAAGATTGCTTCAAAGAGTTTGAAGAAGAATAAAAATGTTCCAAGGATAATTTGGAACGTGTACACGGATATGATCGGAGAACTTGTCCACCTATGGAGCCTCTAAATGCACCCTAAAGTGATATAGAGATAGTTCACATGCTAAGCAGACAAGTGTGTGCAAGCATACTAATGGATGGAATTGGGGTTGGTTATTTGAATCTCAATGCAACCAAGTCAAACAAAGAAAGAAATCAAAGGCTAATCATATCTTATTCTACTTTTTTTTTGAGGAAATATGCCTTTTGTTTAGACTTGCAAATGGGTGTCACAAGGTAGCCTTCTAACAGTCGTAAGAAACCACTACCCCAAAGTGAAGTGAAATGACCCCATTATTATTTTAGTTTTTCTATATGTTTTTCCCCTCATTTCTCACTGATCAACAATGTGGAAATTATATATACTTTTGTCATCAATTAGCTTTGAAGATGAAGTTTGAAATTTATGAAATGTTAGAATCATTAAATAGCGATCAAGGTTTGAATATGATGTTATGAATTAGGTTTAAATTTGAAAGGTGGCCCTATAATATACTTGTGCAATACTTGATTTAGATTAATCGTCTAATAATTTATTAGATATCAATGTCCTATACTAGACCTCTGTAATGTTGAATCAAAACCTCAAAAATTTCAAAGCAAAGTTGAGTTGGCCTAATATATTGAGGTCCCCTCACTAGTTTTGCAAGTGAAAAAGTTAGGAAGTTCATATTGAGACTTTGGGTACAAACTTTTTTTCGCTACATATCCAACAAGGAGAGGGTTGAAGCTGGACTCTGCTTCTGTCTACTTCATTCATACTACTAAAATTGGTCTATACATTTGGTACAAGTATCTGCAGCTGCTTGTTTAGCCTTTTTCTTCAACATGGACTTAATGAATAGTGCCTTTTTTGTTCTCCCACTTGAAATTGTTTCGGTTCCTCCCTCTCTCTTCAGCAGCAAAAGTTAAGTCATTTCCAAATCTCAATACAATGAGTACTTTTCAAACCGAAATTGTATAATTTACGAATACAGATATCGAAACCGTGTCCTTTGAAGGGGAGGGAGAGGTAAACATGTGTTAGTGAATCCTAGCCAAGTACAAATTCAAGGAATGAATAATTCTCCTACTGTTGCTGAAATGCAAGGCCTTAGAATCAAGCAGGAAACTTGGATCATATCAAAGGATCATCCCTAAAGATTTGTCGGTCGACAAAGTGCTTATCTTGCAGCATTTGATGTCCCACAAAAAGATTATGGCTGCAGCCCTAGAAACTACTGCCACAAGAAAGAGGAGAGTTGGACCCCATTTGGGGATATGTGGGGGAAAGAGACTGTATATAGGGTTGACCAGATTAATTCTCCAAACTTAGGAATTTGAGGACAACGTTCATGCTGCAAATCTGGAAAAAATTTCTAAGCTTTTTTTTTTCTTCTTTTAGTGAAAGCTTTAGATTCAGGGGTAGAGTGCAAAGATGGTATTAAGACAATAGCGAGCTGCTTTGTTGAGTCCTGACTATAAAAAAATTATAAAATGGTCCTAATTATATGATATTATTTTGTTGAATCCTCTAACTATTAAAAGTTATAAAAAATTATCACCTGATTATTCACATGTTCCAAACTCGTTCATTTTCATTAAAAAATTGATAGTCGTTTGAGCTTGACATTAATATGTTGATTGAGATATGATAAAATTATATTTTAATGATATCTAATAGTATTGTTATTGCTTTCAAGCACTAGCTCGGCGACATAATATTTGAAACACTAGCTCAATGATATAATGTAAACATAGTCTATACACAAAATACTGCTCAAATGGTTATGAGATCAGATTTTATTATATCACAGTCAACATGCTAACATCCAACTCAGACGACCGCCAATTTTTAACGTAATAAGATAAGCTTAAAACATATAGTCGAGTGACTATTTTGTAACTTTTAATAGTCAGAGGACTCGACAAAACAACGTCTTATAGTTGAAAGAATTTTTTGTAACTTTCAATAATAAGAGAATTAAACAAAACAACATCCTATAATTAAAGGACTATTTATGTACCTTACCCTAGATTCTGAGGGTAATGTAGATTATAAATGGCATTGGCAGTTGCAGTCAAAATAAATGATCAGATTTGATGCCATATCGATGTCGCAATTATAGCATATATGGAAACCAAAATAGTGTTAACTGTTCGTATAAACAATGATGATTAAGGAGGAAATTTCTTCATACATGGACAGGTAGAAGATAAGTGCCACAAATTATGGAGGTTTCTTTACTATACTTAATGCTATTTGTCTCTTCAACGCCACTTCCTTTCTGCCCTCTACTGTTGATTAGATTTCATCTAGTAATTGTGTTTTCGGAATTTTTTAGAGAAATAGTTTTAAGATTGAAATAATGTTGATGGTAGGGCTGTAAATGAGATGAGACAGATCGTGAGCTACTCAAGATCGATTCAATCAAGGCTCGATAAATACTCAAATCGAATGGACTTGACTCAAGCTCGACTCGAGTTCTTAACGAGCCGAAACGAGCTACTTGATATTCAACTTGAAAAGCTTGTGAGCAGCTCTAAAATATAATATATTAAGATTTTAATTTTTTTTAAAAATAAATTGTTAATAATATCTTGACGACTACGATTGAAGTAAATTAGGTTGGAAAAGTTGTCTTCGCCTCTACAATACCCAATATAAATTAATCGATTAATAGATCAGAGATACCGATGATTATACCAAAAAATAATATATTTATATTTGATATTTAATTTTCAGTTACATACTAAGCAAAGTATGAATTATAAATGCAATTTCAAAGTACTAGGATCAATCTTCCACAGCCCCAACTTTTTAATAAAATTCCCCAACGACACGTTTAATTGATATGTGGCGCCAACTACTTTATCAAATGTTAACGTGTCTATAGTTAAGTTGAGGATATAATTAACCTAAAATATGATTGGTTAGGCTAAAGTTCAGCTCTCGAATGGGCTCCTCAAACTGAAAGGATTTTTTTAGATCAATACCTCAAGCATCGAAATTATTTAACCAAATAAGTCGCCTCAGATTTTATTTTACAATTTATGATAAATGCTACGGTATCAGGGGAACTCGTCATGGACGAGTTTGTTTGAAAATATTTTTTAGTGATCTTAATTAAATGGGCTCTACGTGGTCTAATTTTTTAATATATAAATAAAAAATTATCACCTCGAGATGACGAGTCATGTAGAAAATTATTTCTTTTGAAAATTTCAATAAATAATTTAAAAATAAAAAATAAAAGGAAAAGAAGAGAGAAACTTTTCACATCAAGGTGACATGTTCCTATGTTACTATAACATTTGTCGTAGATTGCAAAATAAAGGTCGAGGCCCAATAATCCATGTTTTTAGCTTATTTTTCAGGCCTTCATGTAAAATACGATTTTGACATGAACAAAGTATTTGACAAATAGTTCTGTTTCTGTTTGTTTATTTTAATTTATCAAAGTAAATAAACAGCATAAATAAGAATTTTGTGCCCGTTATTAAACAAGAACACCACCAATAATTCATATTCAATTTATTTATGCTTGTTTTAAACTCATTTAACCAATCACTCAAAGTTTCCTAAACGAGTGATTCACAATACTCGTTATAATGATCTATTGCCTTTTCCAACTCTTAAGCAAATAAACATATCGTTTTCTTTTACCAAATCTTAATCGCTAAGCAAATGTTGTCACCGTAACATACTTCCTTTCTTCAAAAGTAAAAAAAATTGGATGACGAACATATCTAATTTGATGATAATCTATCATGTTAAGCAAAGTAATGCCAATCTACACATAAATTTCAGTTTAATTGTAGTTTTAATCTTCATGACAAACTAGGAGTCAGTAAATTCATATCATCATTCTCGTGGAAACATGTACTATTATTATCGATTCATTCGTACAGAGAAAAGTTCTAAAATGAAATATTTATATATCAAATTAATGTATAGAAAAATAAAATCTGTCTCGCATCTAGCATGTGAATGCATGTTGGCTTTATCGTCCAGGCATATGGCGTGGCGATGAGTAGGTTTCTTCATAAAGAAGAACTTTTTAGGTCCGACAAGGCGGCAGCATGCAATGAACACAATAAATAAGTGAAAAGCATGGGTGATCGAGCGACTCGCTTCATCTTTCTCTACAAAACCACGCGAAAGTTGTGTAACTCGACAAAGAACCCCATCATATTTAAACGATGGTTCTCTGCTTCATTGTTTTTACCGCTACATCACTTCAAACGAGAGGAAACAACGTCGAATATAACAATGTCCAAAGCCCGTTCCAGTATGCAAATCAAGCACAAGGTATGGTAAATACAACTGCATTCGAATTCCTTGTAATTGAAAATGCTATATATATATTGAAAAGGAATAAATTTGTAGTCCTAACAAGTTCAGTTTTGACCGAAACTTGTGACATTTTTGATTGAGTAGAAGGCAAGGAGACATGTGAAGGCGAAATGCAGAGTAGAGTTAAAGGAGCGAAAGAGCATCAAAGAAGCACAATCGCAAGTACGAGAGAAACTCGCGGCAGTCGGAATGGAGTGCCAAGTATTGCAAGAAGAAACTAAGTTGATGATCCAGCGAAGTGCATCTACCCAACTTCGTCTGTCTCTCATGTTTAATATAATCAAGGCACGAGAGGACGGCGATTTCGATAAGGCTGCTCACATCACAATATTGCTACGGTTGTTTTTACATATTTTCTTAGGCTTCAAAATAACAGTATCAGTTAAGAACAAATGGTTGACATGTTTTTCTCCTTCTGGTTTTATTTGCAGTGAAATAATAGCGACGGATGACATGTAGCAGCAAAAAGACTATCTTCGGTCCAAATGTTGTGTTTTCACTTTGTTACTCCACCTTTGTTTTAGGAATAAGAAAAAGTACTGTCGCATCAATATTTCGACCGATTACAGATCTTAAAGCTGCAGGCTTGGCACTCTGATGTTTTACGGCCAAGTTTTGTTGAAATTCTAAGCACGAATATGTACTGTGTGTTGAAATTTTATCATTTTAAATTGCTAAAGCATTTGAATAAATTGGCATGGATGGTTTTAGGTAGTACAAATTTTAGATTTGAATTCTTAAAATATGATAATACAATAGATATTTCATGAGAAATATTTATTATATTTGTGTCATTATTTAGTTTAACAAAATTAGTGTACGCATAAATTATTAACTAGATAAAATAGAAATACATGTGATTCACAATGTTTTTTTTTTATCATTTTAATTATATTAATTGTATTTGAACGCGATAAAATAGTGACGTCTGGCTGTTTTCCGATTTTTTATACAAATTATATTTATGTTGTGGATTAATCTATGTTTTGTTGTCAAAAATTTCTAATGACATGATTCATGTGTTTATGCCACGAGAATTTTAGTTCAATAACCCAAAATCCTTTTTAGTATAATCAACGGCATCTGATCTATTGATCGACTAATCCGGATCGAGTACTGCAGAGGTAAGAACGATCATTCCAACTCAATTTGCTCCATTCACAATCGCCAAGATTTGAACCCCTGACATTAATTAAGGGATCTAGTGTCTCATCCCATAGACCAACTAGTTGCTAATAATATATTCCAATTAAGGTAACATATGAAAGAAAAAAAGTAGATGAAGAAAGTCAAGAAACAGTAGGAGATTCGGATTATAAAAAGGAAATGCATGATTATAGTAAAATCTAGGGTATGCAAATGATTCCTAATTATACAGTACTCTTCTGTTGAATCTATCTACTATTAAAAGTTACAAAATTATCGTTTGATTAGGGCATTGTTTTGTTATCTCTCGACCATTAAAAGTTATAAAATTGCCATCGGCTATTCATATGTTTCAAACTTGTCATTTTTATTATAAAATTGACGGTCGTCTGAGCTAGACATTAGCCTACTACTAGGACATGATAAAATTTGATCATAGAATTATTTAAATTTTATAGTCGTTTTAGATTCTGTGATCAAATGTTATATCCTAGACAATATCTTAACGTCAAACTCAGATGGTCATTAATTTTTTGACAGAAATAGACAAGTTTGAAACATGTGAAAAGTTGAGGGACTCGACAAAGTAACACCCTTAATATGGACCATTTTATTTTAATAACTGAGAGGCTCAACAAAGTAATATCTTATAGTTGAGGACCATTTCTGTACTTTACCCTAAAATCTATTCACTTCAAAATACCAAATTTACACTTTTGAAAATCCGTACAAAACCAGGTGCACCACTGATACTAATTGTTACGGAATACGACTATCGGATAGAGCAAAATCACAACTGATAATTTGAGAAAATAAAAACAAAGATAAAGAATACACAAATTTTACTTGGAAAACCCTAAATAATATAGAGTAAAAACCAAAGGCAAAGATAAAAGAATTTCACTATAAGAAAATAGAAATTACAACTTCTCTCGATCTAACAAGGAGAAAACAATGACAATTCTCTCTTGATAAAAAGAAGAAAAATAACTCTCAAGAAAACTCTCTAATTTCTCTAATATTGGGATAAAGCTAGAATGATTTACCAAAATTGGACCAACGACGAGAATATGGACCAAATGCGATATTGAAACCTAAGTTTGAGCTTAAAATAAAGTTACTACGTGAACGAAACTCATACTACTTTAAAATTAGTTAGAAAGGGTATTGATGACGGAGTAAACATCACACTAAAGGTGAAGAACAAAAATATACAACATGCTATCAACGAACAACACCTTTTTCTAATTTTACAGGTGTTTGGACCGTCTTCTAATTAAGGGTTTTACATATGATCATGTTCAAAGTAGGACATTTTTACCCTTAGCCAGCTAAATCAGAACAAGAAAATATAGAGAGTATTAAACGGATGTTGAAGTGGTCATGGGAAGTTTGAGCAGTACGTATTTTTCGTAAACGTAATCGGATATAAGAAAGAAAGCGTGTGAGAGAGTACATTAATTAATTAACTTATACACAGCTAATTATATTATAATTTCTTAATTATATTATATATATATTTACAATATGTCAATGGTCATGATAGTCACCAGCATTTTAATCTAACTCCATCTGGGTCAGGTAGAACTGTGGTATACGAAAATAGTAGCAATTAGAGAAATAAAAGGCATCCATAAAAAGCAAGCAAAAATAAAAGAAACATTAAATTAACCCTAAACCAAAGCTAGCTAGTAAGACCATAAAGATTCCGCCATATTAGCCTGATCAACCGTGTCCATGCAATAAAACGACTTGGACTGAGATGCCATGAACTTGGAAGAGGCGACGACGGGCGAGCCGGTGCCTGCCGGCCGATCTGAGGTCGAAGGCATATTGCGCATCCTCATGTGAACGACCTCGGCTTGTGCAAGTGCCAGTTGCGTTTGCAATGAATCGATCTGTTGCTGCAGTGATGAGATGGCTCCGACGCAGCCGTAGACAGGGTCACGCATCCTGGCGTTTGCTTCATACACCATTGAACTCACCGCATCGCTCCGTTGGTGCTCCGGCAATTCCTGCAAATTATTTGATCCCAAAACCATCATTTTCAATCATCATTGCAGCTTAATCTTTTATTGAATCTTGAGTAGATTTTCCACTTTGGGTCTGTTTCTTTACATGGAAATAGGGGTTGCATGATTTTTAAAAGTAATAGTAAATAATCAAATATGGATGAAACTTTATAAAGAGATCACACTGTTGGCTAGCACGTTTCCCATGTTTCATTTGGTCAAAAGGTTACTTATTTGAGAATTTACAGAACAGGTCACCCCGTTGTGGTTAATCTAATCATCCTTACACATTTTTAAATTAAGACTACTCAACGAATTTTCAATGCATCAAATATTAGTCTTTATTAAATCTTATATTACTTAATTCACTCACAAATCTTTTACTACTACCTTTCTAATCGTTTATTAAAAATATTACTTTGTAACAAAATTTACTTAATATTGTATTAAATGCTAAGATGTTACCCTAAAAATGTTATAAATATAAAAGCAAATCTTGGCGACTTGCCTTCTTCATATTAATTATTAATTCCTTTTCCTTTTCATGTTTTTTTTCTCAGCAAATTTTTTTATCATTTAAATATAACCAAAGTTGAGAGCGTCGTTAAAAACCTCTCTACGCCTAATCGGAGGAAAAGGGTACTCATCAACTTGGAATAAACAAGGGTGAACTACGCATTTAATACCTAAAGTTTCACTTTTGATACATTTTAATTAGTACCTATACTTTCAATTTTTATAAAATCATACCTAAAGTTTAGTTTTTATTTCATTTTAGTAGCCCGCTATTAATTTTTTGTTTCATTTTAGTACCTAAATTTTTAACGGCAGTATTAAAATAAAACAAACAGTAAACTTTAGGTACGGTTTTGAAAAAATTGAAAGTATAAGTATTAAAATGGAACAAAAATGATAGTTTAGGTACTAAATGTGTAGTTTACCCAATAAACAAACACCGAAACGTAACAGCCACAAGGCTTCACTGATACTACCAATTATACAACTAAAATTTTATATAACAACCAAACATGCCAGAACAAGCAACCATCAACCTCCCGAAGCCGCAACCAAATCGGAACATCCTCTCTATACAAACTTCTAACCACCGTGCTTTGAATAATTCATCACGCGACGTACCTTCTTTCGCCGAATAATCAGTTCTTTTTCCTTTTCATGTTAATTATTAATTATTAAATATAGAGAAAATCTAATTTCCTTGGTCATTATAAAATTTCATAAAAGGGTTATTATGTTTCACCTTTCGCTCATCATAGTGGAGCAAAATCTCATCTATCATGTTATGTTTGATAAGAGTAATTTTTTTTTCATGTCATATTATATGAGTTAACAAGGAATTATTTTTATTCAATAATTTTTAATCACTCAAGAGAAATAGACATCTTATTAAAAAGTTATATAACAAAGATAACTAATTCAGATTTTGGGTGCTTACATAAATGTATCACATCTTTAGACGACCTAACATGATACCTATCACTGTCAATGGAACCCAATGTTCTTAAAGCATACAGCAAGACTGATCCACTAATAATAATAAATTGAAGAAAGTTTCATGGCCAAAAATGTTTTGTTTAGGCTACAAATATTAAAGCTTCAAGCGGTTTATAAAGTTTAAGCTAAGAACAATAGTAATTAGAATCAAATAACCATTTCCCATTTAAACTGGTTTCCCCAAGGAGTTGATTTCTGTGTGTGTTATGTGCACGGTAAAAACGAAAATCGAACTGGTCGGATTTCCCACATCCAATTGTTCAACTTTTTTTAACAAAAAAAAAATTTATAATTAAAAATATTTAAGGAAAATAGAAAAGATAAAAATTTATATTTACAACAAAATAAACCATTAGGAAAGTAAAAAACAGTCAACTTGAAGACTTGACCAACTGTAATTAACTACCGCTTATAACAGATGGAAAAAGACATGGCTAACAAGGTTAATAGGTCAGGTTAAAAGTCCGAATAATTTATTTAAATTCATTTTGAGTTTATAATATAACTTATAAAATAAAATTATTAAAATTTTATTTTAGATAAATCTATTAATTTACTCAATAATAAAAGTAAATGTTGTTCTATCTAGAGATATTAGGTTCGAACAATTAAATTTATATGATGTATATCATTTTGTAATCATGTCGAACTATTTAAAATAATTTGAATCGTATTAACTAGACTAATCGGGTATAGGTACAGATGTGACTATTTAAAAAAAAATCAAAGTGATTTTGTTTTAATTTGAAAGGCAGAAATGGAAAGCTAAAGAAACCCTAGCTTATAACTAGCCATGATGAGTTAGGTTTCCATTTATAAATTAGGCTGGAAAAGCAATAGGTGAGTCTAACCAAAGATTTTCAAGAGGGAGAGAAAAGGAAGGAACCTGTAACATCTTGTTGACATTGCTAGCACCAAACACCTTATGGACACTGGCAAACTTGTGAGGCTCATCAGCTGGAAAATACGGTGCAAAAACACAGTCTTGAGCACATCTCCTTCTAAGTAACTTGCACGCCGCACAAGGGGATATACTCCCCTGTTTCCTGCTACTTTCCTTCATCCCTCTTCCTCTTCCTACCAGATTTTCCCGCTAACCAATCACCAAACTAAACCCTAAAAGCTTCTCACTGTTCACGTCTCTTTTATTACACTAGTATTATTTTCCCACAGTATACTCTAGTTTCAACCAATGACCAAAAATCATATTGAAAAATAAAAAGGTTAAAAACAGCAGATAAGTGAAAGAGAAGAGGTAATAATGATATGTTTCATCAAGAAAAAGAAAGGTTAAGATGTGGAGAGGGGGGATGCAAGGAGGGAAGGGGTTGAGTGTTATATAGAGAGATTATTATGTGACAGCAAATCTGATGTGGACCCATACGCCATATATTTTGTTGGACAAAAACATCGTTTTTTTATTAAGATCCTTAGCCCCAACCCTAATGTGATCCCCTTACCTAGCTAGTTCTTATCATATTTTATAAATTTAACAAGTTCATTGCATCTGTTATTAAAATTGTATTTGGAATTTGAAATTTTATATAAATAAAAGTATACACTTTATATGTTCATCAATAATTAGTTAATTTCTTATAGTCGATGTACTTCATATTTCACATTTAAAATATTATTATATCATAACCTTAAAGACTATGTTTTCAGGCATGTGTTCGAAGTTTAAATAAACAAATACTCAAAAAACTATGATATCAGAGCTTGGCTCATTAGAAGGTTTAACAACTTGAGACGATCGTTAAAGAAGTTCTACCGATCTTCAACACAACCAACAAGAAGATGACTTCAACCTCCAACTCTTACTACATTGAAGCCTCTCAACCGGTTAACAAGCCACCTTATTTCAATGGAGAAAATTATGCCTATTGGAAGAATATGATGATGCTCTTCATTCAAGCCAACCATCTAGGAGCTTAGAACTCTATCATGAGAGGATACTCCATTCCAACCAGTGAGATTGATGATTGGAGTGATGGAGAGAAGAAGAAGTTCCAACTTAATGCTATGTCTATGCACATCCTCTTTTATGCATAAGGTTTGGATGAATATGGAAGAGTCTCCTCTTGTTCTAATGCCAAAGAGATTTGGGACAAGCTTCAAGTCGCTCATGAAGGAACCAATAAAGTGAGGGAAACCAAAATCAGTCTTCTCAACCATAGCTATGAGAATTTCAAGATAAAACTGCATGAAGACATCAAATCTATGATGGATAGATTTTCCGTGATTGTCAATGGTCTCAAGGGATTTGGAGAAGCAATCCCTAATGAGAAACTTGTGAGAAAGGTGATATACTCTCTTCCAAAGTATTGGAAATCAAAGAAGACGACGATTATCGAAGCTAAAAACCTCAAGCCACCCACTCTTGATGAGCTTATCGATTCTCTTCGCACTCATGATTTGATGGTAAAGGAAGAAGAAGATGATGAAGAAAAGAAGAACAAGAACAAGGAGGTAGGTATTATCTCCAAATCCACCAATGAGAGCAATCAAGATACAAATGAAAAGGTGGATGAAGATGATGAAGAAGAAGAAGAGATGGCCAAACTCTTCAAAAGATTCAAGAGATTCATGACTTCCAAAGAAATGAAGTATGAATCAAGCAAAAAAAGGGTCCCCCGGTGTGCTTCAAATATCAAAGAACGGGGCATATCAAATATAATTGTCCCCTCCTAAAGAAGAAGGGATCAAGTAAGAAGAAGACATTTGTTACAACTTGGAGTGATGAAAATGACTCCAATAATGAAGATGAAGTAGCCAACATATGCCTTATGGCCATCAATGAAGATTTAATTGTAACTTCAAACTCTAGTGAATTAAATTTGTATTTGTTTGATGAGTTACAAGTTGTCTATGATGAGTTGTATTTGGAATTTGAGACCATGAATTCCAAATATAAGAAATTAATTTCAAAACTTAAAGTTAAAAATGATTTGGTTTTGAAAGCAAAAGTTGATTTTGAAAAACAAAATGAATATTTGAAAAATGATTTAGAGCTTTCAAAAGTCAAAATCAATGATTTAGAAAAAGAAAATTTTGATTTGAAATTTAAGCTTGAGAGATTAACAAAAGAAAAAATAATTAATTTATAAAAACAACTCATTATGTTTAAAAATGGCAAAATGCTCACATTGCCATTTTCATGGTCATTTGGAGCATATTTGTCCCATAAAGAAAAGAAAATCTTTTAAAATTAGACAAGTATGGGTTCCTAAGGGAACAAGGGGCATTGAAACTAATGTCCAAGGATCCAAAGCAATTTGGATGCCAAAATATACTTAAATGTCTCTTGTAGGTATGTGGGAGCAATGGTGGTGAAAATGAAGATATTTAAATGCTCTAGCCACACTTGAAAAGTATTGGGTAACCTCTAAGCTTAATGTTATTGTTTTTATTATTTGGTTGCCTATTTGTTTTAAGCATGCATGAGTTTTTGATCTTAAATGATTATGTATTGTTTTTCTATCTCATGTACGTTAAAAAGGTGTTATGATGAACATCTTAAAGCTTTAATGATTTTTCATATTTTTTAGTTCATCATAATGAATTTTGGTCAAAATTGGTTTTAAATACAAATGATATCTCTCTAACAATTGATATCAATTTTTCAAATGCTTTGATTTTACAAATTTTAATCTTTGACCTTAATTTAAATGATTATGCATATTTTTTTTATTGCAAATGATATCTCTCTAACAATTGATATCAATCTTTCAAATGCATAAAATTTTTGGATAGTTTTATGCACATGCACTTAAATTCAACAATTGGTATTGCATAAAGTTTATTAGACTTGGATATATTAAATTTCATATGCTACTAACATGTTTGTTCATCCTTGTTAAAATTCAATTTTTTTTTTAAGTTTTAAGTCCATTAACATTGAATTTGAGCACAAAAATAGTTTTTTCACGTACGAAGTACCGATACTGTTCTTACAGTATTGATACTACATGAACAGTACCGGTACTTCGTATGTGAAAAACTATTTTTGTACTCAAATTCAAGGTTAATGGACTTTGAATTATTTTTGAAATCTTTGAACAAATTCAATAAAATAAAAAAACATTTTGCCCTAATTTGTTATATCAAAATATTATAAACATGGTTCAACAATCTCCCCCCTTTTTGATATAACAAAACATTTGAAAAATTATTTTTGGCAAAACTCCCCTTAATAAAACATTTAATGAAAAAGAGGCATATTTTGGAAAAACATTAAAAATCCCCCTTTTTCATTCTTGAAAATTGAATTTTTTTGGACTTGATTGAATTTGTTCAAAGTTTTCAAAAATAATTCAAAGTCCATTAGCCTTGAATTTGAGCACAAAAACAATTTTTCACGTATGAAGTACCGATAATGTTCTTACAGTATCAATACTATATGAACAGTACCGATATTGTTCATATGGTATCGATACCAAAGGTAAGAGAAGTATCGATACTCTCTGGTAGTATCAATACTACCAGCTTGCTCAAATTCCAGAATGCAAAATAGGTACCGATACCCAAAGGGGTACCGATACTACTTTACATCATAGTATCAATACCATAAGCATAGTATTAATACCGTCAGGCCCAACGGCTAGTAACAACTAGTTTTATTTGAAAATATTAAAGGAAGTATCGATACTCCATGTACTGGACAATTTTATTTTGCACAAAATTTCATCCCCAACGGCTCCAAACCACTCTCAACGGCTAGAAACAAACACAAACTCATTCCAACATATAAATACAAGTTCAAGACACTTGAAGAAGAGTTAGAACACCAATCTAAGAAATCAAACACAATAGAAGAGTTTTTCATTCCTATTTTACTTTCTCTTGTAAATATTTTGTTCTTGTGAACTTCAATATGTAAACACATACCTTTTAAGAGTTTTCTTGTTTACATTTCTTTTCTTTTTGTAAAAGGGGGTTGGTTCTAGTTTAGCCAATTGAAAAAACTAGGGAGTTGTAAAGTTTACTCTTGATCCTTGAAAAAAAAAACAAATTCGTGGATTTGTTGGAAAATCCCAAGTGAGGAGCTTAGGTAGTGGATGTAGACTTGTTTGATAAGTCGAACCACTATAAATCCTTGTGCAAAATTGTCTATCTTTTCTTTCTCCTTACTCCCTAAACACAATTTGCCAATTCACCCCTCTTGCTACAATTTTCGGTTGATCTTTGAGCTTCATCAATCCTAACACTTATATACATATATATTGTTGGGAAAAAGGGTAAATTCAATTCATGGATTTAATATTTATATTAAATTCACAGTCCTTTTAAATATTGTAAATTAAAGTATATTATTTAAATTGAATATTAGTAGGATAATTCTTCTTTAAATATATTAATTTAAAAAGGTATTTGTTATCTGTTTTTAACTTTGAATATTAAAGATAATTATATATTTTTTAATATTTCAAATTAAAATAATATTTATTTAATTTTAAATAGTAAAAGAAGGTTATATCTTTTGAATATTTTAAATTATAAGATATTTATTATCTTTTTTTTAATTTAAATATTAAAGATATTAAAAAGATATCAATATCTTTTTAAATATATTTCAAATTAAAAGATATTATCTTTTAGAGTTTGAATATAATTGAATAACATCATTTTTAGTAAATTCTCCTTTGAGAATCCCCTATAAATAATGAGCAAACCTGTTAGGTTTTTTTATATATCAGAATTCAAGAACTTTGAATATAATTGACTAAATTATGCTGATTAAATCAAAATTTATTTTTGATTTATTATTGGAATAATTATTAATTCTGTTAGATGAAATAAATAGTTATTAGATTGTTAAGAATTTGTTAATGGCTATTAGCCGGATAGTTAGCATATTGTTAGAGATTGGGCTATATAAAACCATATTCTTGTAACGGGTTGAGATATCTTTTAATTCATTTTTTATTAATGAAAATCATTTTCTATTCTCACATGGTATTATTTGCCGATGATCATGCGACCATCTTTAATCCACTTACGTTTGTTGTTGTTTTCTTTTTAGTAGCTGATTGGTCATCGAATTCTCATCCACCGTTCGTCATTGTTTTCTTCATCCACCAGTACACTCGCAAGATTCTTTTGCTTTGTTGATTGACGCTGATGATTCTGCTGGTCTCTAGTTTTGTTGTCGTTCTGCCGCTTAGGTTGTTGCTTTTCTTCGTTCGGGTTTCTGCAGTTTTTGCTTCGATTCAACATTGCTTGCACTTTTTCTTTCACCATCGATAATTTCGTCTAATAACTATTTATTTTGTCTAACAAATTCTAATTTCATACG